ATTATCAAGGTATGAGATGGTAGATGCAATTGATGTCTCCCCCAAGAGCTCAATTTTCAGTCCAGTCACCCTACAAGAAGAAGAGTAGATGAAACCCTGAGGAACTAACCCCATAACCTTTCAACCACAAACAATTATATGTTTCAAGGATGTATTAGAACTCACTTTTCTTTCTCATGCGTTATAACAAGTAGGTGAAGTAACCCGGCATGATCACCAAGTAAATACCTGGAACCATCTGCATCTACTTTCCCATAGGCTTTTGTGATGGACTAGAACAAATGACAAAGAAAAACTTAAAATAATACTTCTATAACCAATTCAACACATAATTCCAAAACAACATTCATATGATACTATAGCATACATGTCTTATTGGGATTGCTTTAAATGTATTCGGGCTGCGGTAAACAATATTATCTTCCCCGATAATAAGAACACCGCACAGCGGCGGAGGAACTGGTATTAACAAATCAGCCCCATTTTCAACGTTGTTCTGTGCCCAAGGACCTTCAACAAAATCCTTATCCTTCAGAGAAACCTCATATGTTTTGACATGGCGAACATCTTTGTTATCCTGCAATATTTCAACCATAGTAAGGCAATAAAAAAATTTGGTTAATACTCCTACACTACTTTACCACCCAAGAAGGCCTCCACAATTTTAGTATATATACTAATGTTATATGGGGCAATACCTAACACTACACATGAACAAGGTTCTGTGACTTAGAAATGGAGCAGATTTACAAAGATCTTAGATGGTTTGTGTAGACGTGTAGAAAAAAATATACCAACATCATTGACCAGATCACGCTTGTTTTTACCAAGTTTTCCATTTTGAAACTGCTGTTCTACTAGGATCTTACATAGCATTGGCTAAGCCTTTGCTAAAATAATGTTCAATCTGATACAAGGAACATAACAAACATGACGGTATAAGAAAACTTGAACGTATGATACTAAGACATACAAGGAACATAACAAACATAACAGTATAAGAAAACTTGAACATACGATACTAAGACAAATTATATGAAGATAAAAAAGTAAAACGGTAGCCCAATATAAACTTGATAACCAAACGAAAGGAATGACTCGTACCTGATATAGGACTACAATTGTTGGTTTGGAACAACCATATAGAAACTTGATATCCAAAACTTGAAGTTCCTCAAGCCTGAAAAGTTAGCCAAAGGTGTAGTTAGAGTGAAAAGATTATAATTTCACACAAAAAGAAGAGAGCAAGAAATATGACATTGCAGCTAGCAACATAATTAAGCACGATTACAAATGTATAGTGAGGCCTTGTAAAATCAATTGTCAATTTGAGTAAATTTTAAATATAACTAATGGTCAGTTAATCACAGGAAGACTAATCAACAAAATATATATTTTACTAGAAAGCTAAAAGAACGAGAGAAAAAATACCGTATATTAAATGCTTCCTTGAGCTGCCCTTTATTATCAAAAGGAATGACCTGAAAAACCAACAGCATATTATTTCATTTCTAAACTATAAATGTGATGACAAAATGAAGATCTTTATATTTCTTCCCAGTATTCAAAACCACATACCTTAAACAATCCATCATACAAATGGAGTCCGATTAATCTACAATCTGGATCAATAATACCAATCTGCAAAAAGTAGTAGGTAAAGAAAATATACATTAGTCATATTTATGGATTTCCCAGTTGAAATTTAAACATCGTTTAGACGTCAACTCTAGAAAGACATAAATGTTTTAACAAGAAAAAGCTACAGGAATTGAGGGTCGTAGAATCATTTAACTTACTTGACCATTGTCTGTTGGACGACCTATGCGATCTGAGACATCCCCCATTGCCCTACACGACAAGGACATGCATTTGTCAAAATGTCATTAAACATATATCTACAGTCCATATAAAGTGAGTACTTTTGTAAATAATTTTAAACAACAATACTTTCACTTGGTTTGCATATCTAACCTAGTGATGAGCTCAGATGCGTCAGCATCCCACTGAAGAACACAAAATTTGTATCTTTCTGTTGCAATGAATAGAAAATCCTGTGTTTCACCCTGTTGAAAAGAAAACATTATTAAAACCAAAAAAAATTATAAAACAAAATCAGACAAAAATATGACGTTAAGACTCACATGAGGCCGGAAAAGTTCAAGCGTTGCTATTCTTCCATATATCGGGACATCCAAGATAGGCTGCAGAGAAAAAAAAATTAGCTTAATGCATGCTAATGGATACTAGTTTAAATGGCAACAGAAACGAAGCTACAAATTTAATATTTTATAGCAGAAAGAGATAAACATAAAAAAAGTTCAAACATTAATTTCAAGAATGAAGATACAGTTTATTCGATCGTGTATTTCACGTGTAATTCAAATGCCACAGTAAATGGCTTCGTGATATAAATCATATTATGTACAGCCAAGTAAAACTTATTGTGCAAGTTCTGTACAATAATTTTATTTATAAGAGTTCAGTGAAATGAGTAGTAGATGATAGTTCTTAATAGGGGACAACTTATGTACAATGCAAAGTCTAATGTTACTATGTCCAAGTTTAAAGTTTAAAATTTTGATTTTTAGATGCTGAAACTTCATGCTGAATGCCTAAGCTTTAGATTTAAATTCTTACTACTTTGTTCCCAATAATATATAAATCCCTGGACAAAAATCAACATAACATCATCAACTACCAAAAAGGTGCAAGGAAAACCGAAGAGCAACAATTTTCCAAAGATTGTCATCGGACATTTAAAATGTGATGATACAATTCTTGGAACCTGAGGGTTTTAACGACACAACGCACAAGTAAGCTATTAACTTTAAAGTATATATCTTTTTTCTTTTACCACAAGATAGATTGACATACATACCTGCAGTCCCAGAGGAGTAAGTAACTGAATTTCAATTCGCGTACATTTCCTGAAATGAAGATTTATGAAAACAATCATGAACAAGATACAACTTTGGACAACAAATCTTGCTGCAAATCAAGGATATCTTTATACAGCAGAATGAAGAGTCTCTGTTTTATGCGCAGACACGAAAGCTCTATCAATACAAGCCTTCTAGACAATTGAACCGCTCCCGCACTACTACTCCCCACTAAAAGAGCAATTGATAATCCTGATAACCTAAACAGAGCTACAAGTATAACATTTCATTGATTCCCAGAAAAATCCCGGCAACAAACGAAAAATTTTTGAAAAATTGCCAGGAAATCCCGAACTCAATCGCCTTCGGCCCGAAACCTGAAGTTTTTTTGTTGTTTTGAAATTTTCAATCTTGCAAACAACTTAATGCATGAATTTCTAGGCCAATATTAACCAGGCATATAACTATCTGTATGAGAAGATGAAGAGACTGCCTCAAGAAACTAACGCATTAGCGAAACCCTAGGAGGTCGTACCCAGTGCACAAGCTCCCGCTTTACGCAGGGTCTGGGAGAGCTGAATGTCGGCTAGCCTTACCCCCATTTATGGAGAGGCTGCTCCCAAGTCTCAATCCGAGACCTACCGCTCATGGGCGGACTTGCCATCACACCAACTGCGACCTCACCCTAGGAGAAAGATACAAAATCGAAGAGAGAGAAAGATAAAGAAGAGAGAGAGAGGAATTGGGGGGTGACGTACGCAGTGATGAGATTGAGCTCCTGCGGGGCGGTGAAATTGCCGACGCAGGAATGGGTGACGTTGGTGGGCTTGTGAGCCGTTACGACGTAGTTCCATATGCTCATCTTCCTCTTCCCCTCTTCTTCTTCTTCTTCTTCTTCTTCTTCTGCAAATTGGTTTTGTGGAGAAAGGGGCCGAACCAGTGAGCCCTAGCCAGCAGCACCCTCTTTCTCTTTCTCTTTCACTTTCTCTCTCTTTCCGGTTGTCGCCGATTCGCTCTCACAGTCTCACTCGCTCATCTACAAACAGACAGAAGATACGAAATGCAGCGAAGCGGCGTCGTTGGGCTTTTTATATGGCCTTTTGGGTTTTTCCCGCTGATCCATGGGTGGGTTTTTTTGGGACTTGGGTGCGATCCGGTTTGGCTAATTTTATAGGTCTTGGCCTGATCCATTGTCATGGACTCATGACCCATTTTGCCCGTTTTGGGAAAATTTATGTTTTCATGGAAAGTTACAAACACACTCATTTTAGTTTCTCACACACTCGTGTCGTTTCCGTTGATTTATCCAATAGACAGTCATAAATTATAAAGAATTTGTGATAAGCTAAAAGGAGTGTGAAAATCATCTCTCTTCCTGTAAAAGCAAGACCCATTTTTATTGTTGAAAGAGATTGAAAAAGGATTGGAAAATTGAAATGATGGATTTGCCAGGTGATTATGGTTTCTATCCCAATTTATTGTGTTTCAGGTTCAAACCATCCATTTTCTCTAGTGTAAATTAAAATAATAATATCTTGTTTACAAGGGGTGGCACACAATATTATATCATGTACATAATGTGTTCTTCAAAAATTATATCAGAGCCAAAATTTTTCAATTGCAAATTTATTTTTCTTACTTTGGTCTTGTTTAGTTTTTTCTTATTCTTTTACAATTAGGTCGTTCTTATTAATGGGGAAGTGAAAATTCGAACTTCGGACATCTTCTAACATAAAAATCTGAAGTGCCACTAAACAAGAGGTGGTTGGTCTTTTTAGTCAATATAATTCATATTCCTTGGGCTCCTTTTACAATCAAAATTTTATGATTTTTACACAACGCGATATGCAGTTCAATATGATTGTATTTGTTGCACCAAGACGGGTGGTGTTTAGAAGGTCCTATGCAAAGAAGTTTTTCGATGAGAGAAACTTCCGTGCATTCCGTTTACATCGTTGATCATCTCTCTGTCTCACTTGTCACGTTATAAGAAAGTTTAGAGCAATGAGGGCTTTGCTTAAAAAGAAAAAGTTCAGCATTCTTAGCGATTGTCATTCTTCTATCAATATGACACTTAAAAATACCATTCAGTGCAAGACGAGTTCACAAACATGTTCCTCTTTTGAATCAAACGCTGAGAAATTTGATTGATTAATTGACTAATTACAGGGCACCAACATTCTTAAGGCCAAGAACAAAACCAACCCCAATAATGTGACCAACAGTCCCACAAGCCAAGGTATCAGCAAGCGTAAACCCAGCCGGATCGCCGGTCTGCAGTCCAGAGTCCCTTGTTTCAAGCTTTAATCCTGCCGTTGCCTTCCTGTTTGCCGACGGGGCCAACCCGAATCTTCCGGCAAACAGCATTAGGCTTGTAGTAGTCACCATTATCTGAACAAATCAAGATCAGTTAATTTAACTAATTAATTAGTAATTTAATCGCATTCGCCTGCTAATGTATGGTCTGGTTGTTGTATGTATATATAAATCAGTGAAATATTTGCTTACCAAATTGGTGGATGAACCAATGAAATCACAGCGAGCTCCCAAAGCGCCCTGCCCTTTGCGCCTCATTGGTTGAGCAATGGCCTGTGAAAGCATAAGAAGTTTGAAACTCAAGTTAGCTAATAACATTTATCTATGAATACGAAATTCTGTGTATTGACTCAATTACACATATTACACTCGAAATTTTGTGTTCGATTCTCCGTTAACCTCAGTATAACTCAATCTCTATTCTTAATAGCTTAGACTTTTGAGCAAAATACCACTAAAACTCTTTCAAACATTCCATAATTTCTAACCTAATTTAGCTCCAACTTGTACCTAGTCGATCATCTTTCCTCCTCCTCATACATAAATAACCCAAAAATGTAGCATTTAACTTTCCCAAACATAACTTTATCATATATATTTAAGCATCTACTATAATGTAGCGAGAAACGTTATAAACATAATCGATCAATGTCAAATCTTAAAGAACGAAACGAAAGCAGAACTTGCCATGCTTTGCACATTAGAGAAGGAGATTTGGGGTCTGAGCCCATTGAATTGGGGGAGAGAAGTAGTCACAGTGGCAGTTGCCATTTGCTGAGATTTGTTGCAGTTTCTCTTACTTGTTCGATAATTTTATCAAGTTTTGCATACCATAATATCGTTATAAGCTTTTAGGGTAACAAAGTCTGCAGCCGCAGCCGCAGCCGCGCGAGCAACCTGTGGCTCCAGAATTCCAGATTTGGATACACCAGGATCTTTGCTGCCGACGTGGCTTTGTCCCATTGGTTATGACCGTTTTACTCAATTGGGTAGGATCAGGATCCTCTCCTGAGCAGATGGAGAGGATCCTCCTGATCAAGGTCATCGGGCCGTTCATTTTTTATCCAACGGTTATAATTATTATAACTTTTAGAGGATCCCCCCTGTTTGTAGCCGTTGGATAAAAAATGAACGGCCCCGATGGGCCTGGTCAGGAGGATCCTCTCCATCTGCTCAGGAGAGGATCCTGATCCAATTGGGTAAGGTTTCGTTTGTGGGACCCTTGTTTGTGTTGCTGCAACAGCAACTTCTGATTGGATTTAATTTTTTAAATCTCACATTTGGGCTTCAGTTGGGCCTAGTTGGATTGGTTGAAAATTAAATGCGAGTCCAGTCCACTGATGGACCGGGGTTAGCCCCAAGAGGGCAAAATTGTCATTTGAGGTGTATTGTTTATGTAATGATGATTTTGGTTTGCCAGGACCTGAGAGGAGGGACAAAATGATGTAAATCTATGATCCACAAAGATACTATGCAGAGGGTGAGTGGGCCCCCACATTTAAACCTCTAGATTTCTAGTTTTTGGGATTTGATTGTTTCTCCTTCTCCTCATACGTATCTTTCTCTCAAAATCTCTTGAGAAATTGTTAAGGTCAATCTTATAACTTCAGTACTATAAATATTTTTATATTTGATTTTATACAAATTTATCAAATAGTTAAAAACATTTATCTGTGCACACAAGATCGATAATTCCTTGAAGAGGGGTGCGGATTTGCAAATCGACGTTGAGCTTCCAAGTCAGTTCTATAAAATGGTAAGGTCGACAAAGCTCAACCTTGAAAAATCGTTACTTTCTTATTTGCGAGACTTGTTATAATAAGAAATGTGTCAATACTGTAATAAATTATATTGTTGTTGAACATGAATATCTGGTATGAGAAAAGACATATACTAACTTTGCAACAAGATGTCATTATGACGATATCTTACATCAATCACGTACTATCATATAAAAAAGTTAAAACGTATAGCATATCATGATTGACTTAAAATACTGCTATAACGGGCAATCCTCTTCTACGAAAGACCTAGAAAATGAAGGAAGATGAAATCCACAATGGGAGAAACACCATATTCCATGCAAAGTGATGGTTAGATTTAGAAGTCCATATGATGTTCCCCTCAAACAAGACAACATGGGTGTGAAGTGTAAAATCACCATGAAGGAATACGTTTAGAAGAAGAAGAAGAAAGCAATCAGACAAAAGGTGAAAAGATAGGATTTGGTTAATTAGAGGTAAAAGATTCCTAAACCAAAAACAAAGATAGGGATAAAGCATATTACAATTACAAAACCCTATTCTAAATTTATAATCATGTTCTCATCTCCTGCTTTTTCCCCCCAGAGTAACAGCAAATAGCCTTTTGTACAAGCAGGTGGAATTTTGGCTTTTTCTCCCGGCAGTTTTACTTAACCCATCAAAATATCAGCTTCCGAGATACAATGGCAGCAGAAGGCCAGCAAGTCGCCACCAAAGAGAAATGGGACTTTGCTTTGAGAGTGGAGGTGCTGCAGAGGCTACAGATCTGAAAGAAACAGGAACAAAGGGTGTATCAATCTATGAGCATTGTAAAAGTAACAGACTTGTGTTTTAGATTACGTAAACTAAACTGTGTGATGCAACAAGCGTACCCGGGCGCAGCGTAGTTGCATTTTCCATGACCTGTAATGCGATGAAACAGATCAGTGGAGCAGAATTGAAGTCATAGAACGATAAATATGGTAGAGCGAACACATTCCGGTAGAGTTTGTGCAACCCCAAATTGATCTTACAGTCTTGTTTACTTATTGCTATGTGGAGAATATAGAGATAACCATATAATCAAGAGATTGATCTGAAAACTTGGTAAGACAGCCCACGCTACCAAATGGCTTTCTGGCCTAATGGCATCTTCCCCGTTTAAGTGTCGGGGTGAAATCCCGGGTAAAAAATTCGGGAAGAACTAGACCCTTGTACCACCTTACAATGTCAAAGAATATTAACTTCTAAGGCGTACCAAAGAATTCATTTGGATTCGTCGATACCGAAAATCCAATTAGTTATGACTTCAAAATCGATCTAAGTAGTTCCAAGTTGGATTCCACCAAAAGATCTTTTAAGTGACCCTTTGTTACACTAATTCTTATCAGGAAGGGGAGCTGCACAACTTACTTGGGTTCTTTTTAGCAACACCTGCAGTTCCTCCAAAATTGCAAGCAATGTCCGAATTCCCGTTCTGCTGATAATAATTATTGAAGGCATAAGAGGCATGAGACACCAGAGTATCTGGTTCATAACACGCTCCACCTTTTTGAATTGGCTTGCAGTCTACCATTCCCAATCCGCAGGCCCAGTCTAATGCATTCTGCAAATCGGCTTGGGAAACCCCGGGAAGGGCTACGCACCATGTCGTGCCATCAAGGAATGTTGTGTTCCCTTCTGGTGGTGACAATGTGGTGTCTGGAATTGCTCCATCTGCCTTCTCTTGCACCGCTGCTCCGATTGTCGAAACTAAAAGTTTGTAAAAGATTCGGTAAATTAAATCTTCAATTTCAAAACAAGTCTCTACAGATTCAAGCAACAAAACATAAAGAAAAGTGGATAGCTACGCCTAAAATTGAATAATACCAGTTAGAAAGTGGCCTAGAAGATCATGTGACTCATATCTCACAACATGGACCCCCATAAAAGTCAGAATTGGCATCAATAGAACTCAACAAACAAGAGAAATTTCGGTAGGGTTGTATGACTAGGGCAACTTCCACATCCGGTGAAACCAGCGTAAAACTGAGTGAGATCAATAAACAGGGACACCATACTTTTGTGAGTAACGTTCTCAAGTTTTTTGTCCAAACAAATAGCTACCCAAGCCTAAGTGGGATTTGCCTAGACAAACTTTTTCTTTTCTTTTTGTTCCAAAAGTTGGCGCCTTAAATAGAAGGATTGGCCTACTTCCCAATCCCTTACAGTCTGCAAGCTTCAAATGTTCGTATACAACTATATATATCCTGGGAAACACAGAAAAAACAAATATATAAACCTGACCAGAAACGGCCAACTTCCGAACAAGAAGATTTCAAAACAAAAATACAAAAACAAAAAACAGCAAGAAAAATAACATAAAAACCAGAAAACTCCACAGTAAACATGAAAAAAATAATAAAAAAATAAAAAAACAGAAGAGAAGTTACCCAGATGGCATCCCATTCCCATGAGCAAGAGGCACTGCAAAACCAAAACCCATTTCTTCTTTCTCATCATGCTTGACAGTCCTCACCCTTCTCCTAGAAAACAAATATAATACTAAAATAAAAATATAAGAAAACCCACCACTCTCTCTCTCTATCTCTCTCTTGTTTGTGTTTTAAGAGTGAGAAGCAAATGAGAAAAAGGGTTGGTGGTATAAATGCAAGGATTTGTTGAAGAATCTGAAGTTTCTTGAGTGGGAAATAATCTCCTTTTTCGCTTTTTTTTTTATTTTTTTAATTTGAGTTTTCGAGAGAGTGTGACTAATGCTTTCAGAAGCTGAGCTATTTACTCTGTACTACTTCACTTTTGCAATTTTATACGTTTCAGAGAGAGGTTTCAGAGAGTTCAGACGCTTCAAATATTAAAGCTTTATTCACAAGGTCGTGGTGAAGGTGGTGGTGGTGGTGTGGTGGTCGAGTCCAGCCATAACGCAATTTTTGGGTTCTGTTTAATTTCCCAATTCTTTCATTCAAATTTTCGCGATATATTGAATCCATATCACTCCTTGGATTTTCTCCGGAATTTCCATCTTTCGTTGGGGTTATTTTGGTCCACCAACTCTGAATTAAGCAAACCAACCGGGCAGAGTACCCACTACCACCCAGGTCGAGTTCTGGGCTCAATTGGGTTTTGTTTTGAAGTGGCCCAGTTTTGGGGACGGGGCCTGGTGATGTTGAAGATGAAGTTGGCTTTTGATGGTTTAGGTCCTATTCTTTGTATTTAGTTACAATCAATTTTTCCCCCTTCTTCTTTTATACATAAAATCCCCTTTTAATTTGATAATGTTAATGAGAAACGCTTTTACTGGTGCTGGCATAGCAAGATTGGTTATAACATTCGAGTTTGAGTTCCTGTCTTAGTATTTTAGATTAATTTAAAGTAAAATATCGCTTAGTAGTTTAAATTAATTTAAAGTAAATTATTGCTTATATAGAAAAGAAACTCCTCACCTGTAGCGCAGTAATACTCAAGTGCACAAACGATTGAATTTAAGTTAGCTAAATTGAGTGGCATATAGTCCTAGTTAGGTTTTTTTTTTTCCCAGCGAATCATTAACCATAAAAATAGATACGGAAGATCCAAGTTTACTAAGTTAACTAATTTGGTTTATGCGTGGATGTGGTAGTAAAACATTTCGTCATGACTCATGAGGTACACATTTTCTCTACATTAGTTGTTGGACATCAGTTACTTAATTTGTTTATTGTATTCAAACCTTGACTTGTACTTAAATTTGGTACGTAGTTTTGTTGAATTTGTCGTACGTATCCTACACGTAACCTTCAAGTACATGTACATTCAGTACTAAATAAATTCGGGCAGTATTAATATATGATACTTGCAACATCTCACTCTTTTGTAAGTTTTATATAGTACTGGAATTCAATTAGTTACAGGGGGTTGGACCCAACTCGGTTAATTGTTTGACGTGGTGTTGTCATAGAGAATAGTTGTAACTTGCTTTGCGTACGATATAATTAATGAAACTTTAACGAAAAACTTCTGTTACTGTTTATTTGAAAGAAAAATCATATTTTTACACTAAAATGTCAATCCTGGTACTATTCATTTTACCCTTTATTTTGTCATTTTCGTTAAAACTTAAAGTTTTCAAAGTTTTTTCATTAGTTTTCCCTATAATTAAATAGCTGTGAATCTCATTGATTTGTGACGAAAGATTGTGTACTACTTTTGCACATGTAGGCTCATTATATACATGTTAATGTCCAGCAATTGGTGAAGCATCGCTGGCTGCCAAGGAGCCTATTGAATTGGCTCCTTGAGCCGGAGAGATTTTTCAGTGTGATCGGAATACGGGATGGTACCATGTGTCACTATATAAACGTTGAGATATGTGTGTTAAAAAGTTAATAACTTAAAAAATAAAATTTCCAACCACTTATATAAAAACACGTGATATACCATTCGTGTTCCGGTCACAATAAAAAATTTATCGTTGAGCTGACCTCTCACATATTTTACACGGTTCATCAAACACTATTTTTGGCACTTCAAAATATCAACATGCAGTCTTATTTGAGTTTATGATTACTCTTTTAGCGCCAATAAAAATCTTCTACGATCCTCGTTTAAATACAATGTCAGCACGATAAGATGAATTGAATCACATAAGTTTGATGATTTTGGTTCAATCAAACAAGACTCAAGGATGCATAAATGTCTACCACCATAATGCTCTTTTAAACAGTTTTCGAGGGTCTTGTTTGTGAATAAACTAATTATAAATGAGAAATTTAAAAAGTAGCCAAATTGTTGACATACTTCAGACTTATAGGGTGCGTTTGGTACGCAGACGGAACGGAACGGAACGGGACGGAACGGGACGGAACAGATGTTCTATGTTATGTTTGGTACGTGCAGAACGGAACATGATGGTTGTTCCGTCCTGCGTTTGGTACTGCATGGACAGAACGGTACCAAAAGATTAAAATGACTAAAATACCCAAAACCCTTCTTACAGCAACACAGAACATCGCCACTGCTGCTTCTTCTTCTTTATCTTCCACTCTCTTCTCTCACCCTCCAAACCCAACATTCATCGCCACCCCTTCTCCCACGAGAGCCTCGCTGGAACAGTTTTCCTTCTCCCAGGTGCCGAGGTGGATAGCAGGGAACTCTTCGATGCCCTTCTTCATGCCAACGTCGTAGATTCGGATCTTGGGGTCGGGCAGACCGCGACTGAAGCGGGATTTCAGGTAGGGTTTGTTCTTGATATTTGCTATTCTGATGTTACGACAGAGCAAGGGCAAGGGTATCAACAGTTTCAAAGGTTCTAGTTTATATTTAATCCAACAGAACCCAATCCAACAGAGGAAAATCCAAAACATAATCCAATCTAACAAAACCCAAAGACATCAGATTTGTACATTTCAGCACAAAAAAATTGAAACTTGAACACTGAAAAAAAAAGAATCCATTAATACTAGAGACATGAATTAGATTCAGATACAGCTGAAACACACAGCTGAATTCAAATACAGACAAAATATTCAGATTGTTGGTACAATTGGTCTAACTATCAAAACAACAATAACTATATTAAAGAGTTACATTAGTCCATCTGCAACACACAAAAAACAGAAATCTATGCAAGGGATACAAATTCTATACTAAATGCTCAAAGCAAATAACAACTCCCAGAAACATTCACATATTAAATCTAGAACAAAATAAGAACAGGGAAACAATTCGAAGCCAAACCGACCTCATAAACCACGCAGACCAAGACAATTAAGCAGAAGGAACACAGAGATCAAAACAATTAAGCAAGTCTATCAACATATTGCACAAAATATTCAGAAAATCCCAAATCCAAATCCCTAATCAATCTACCTCTTAATGCAGATCGAACCTGGAACGGAGATGCAAAGCTGAGAAGTTCACGGAGAGGCACACGGAAGAGGATGAGTTGGAAGTTTACGATGGGGAGATGCAGGATGAAGAACTTCAGCGCAGATAAGAGAGGAACTCAACGGCAGAGAAAAGAGGAATGAAGGATTAGGATGAGGAAGTTTGCGATGGGGAGATGCAGGATGAACTTCAGCGCAGAGAAGAGAGGAACTCACCGGCAGAGAAAAGAGGATTGAAGGATTAGGGTTTGTTGTATAATTTAAAAGGTGTAAATATTAAAAAAGCTAAGGGGTATTTTTGTCTAAAAATTATCATTTTTGTGTTCCACGGGATGGAAAAACACGTTCCGGGGGGGGAAGGGAGAACCAAAATCTAACATATTTTCGTTCCGTGGGACGCGCGTTCCACGTAATTTTAGCGTACCAAACGTGGGACGGAACGGTTCCGTCCCACTCTGTTCCATTCCATCCCACGTACCAAACGCACCCATATGGACTTACTCAATAAGGTTCTAGCTATCTCATGGTCACTTGAGCAGTGCTAATGCCCACTTAAGCAGTGCTAATGCCCACTTGAATAGTGCTTGAGCACTGCTCAAGTAGTCTCAAGATAGCTGAAGCACTACCGAACTAGCCTCGAAATGGAGCAAACGCTGCTTGAGTGGCTTCGATAAATAAAGGCCAAAGGGGACACGAGACAGAAAAATCTTGCTGCTGTATGATTCTTGCTGGTATATTTAAACCTCTATTAAACTTTACCGAAACACACTGATAACTTGCAGATTTTTGGTCACATAAAAATCTTGTTTCTGCATGATTCTTGCTAGAGTAAATCCACTTTGCAGTATTGCACAATCCAAATTAGTTTTAAAAATGCTCGTCTTATCACATTTTTCATCCCAATCAAGTCATGTGAGGTAGTACTCAACGCCTCAAACCAATCTTACGTGGTTATAAAGTTATAAAAATCTCAAAATGGGGCTAAATATAACAAATTTGACAATTTATACAACAAAATTTCTTGAATTTTTTGTATGCATGAGCCCATCATATAGGAATTTTTTTGAAACGTACCCAATTTAGACATGTGGTAAAAAAAATCTTTTAGGGCTCGTGTGGATATATATCTAAAATTTGAAAGAAATCTTTTCGTTTAATAACTATTTTGTTTTTAGTTATTTCTATTTTAAGATTTTGTTTTCATTCATTATTCTTAATTTCTCGAGCCAAACTAATCAGACGCTCTTATAGACCTATTACCGTTATAGACCCGTCATTTCACCCTTATCATAGACCTATCAATTTTTGAAATTGGTTAGTTCAACGTTGACCAGTTTGATCTTGTCTGGGCTCCATGCTCCCTCAACATTTAGTAAGACCTGAGCCAAATCACCAGCTGCAAATTGCATCACACATAAAAATAAAATCATATAAATTTTGCAGAAATAAGATCCAGCAATACATAATAATATCATACAGCGGGACAAAATCTAGCAGTTAGATGAGCAAGAGCAACCACCTTACCATATCAGCAGATCGAGCAGACATGGAAGCAGCGTCAACAACTTCGGAAACACCAGGTCTGCATATTTTTATGGTACCAAGAAAGAGAGAATTCAACTTCCGTACTTGGATTCCAAACCCTAATTTTTTTTACTATTTTTGGGTTGTTCTTGATACAGCCATTACGTACCACACACCATTAGGGTTTTAATCGTATTTTATTGTTAAACTAGTAGACTATAGTACTGACTTAATATAATATTAGTCCCAAAAGTCATTTTAATATTAGGTTAGTCATAATTTTCAACTAATCCAAAATTTTTTATATGCTTCGTTAGGAAGAATTTGTCTACGTGACATATTTTGTCCGTTTGTCGGCCTATCAAAACAGCGGGAATATTGGTAGTTTGTTCACTGTCCTTTCTCATGCATTTTCCCTCTGCTACTTCCTTGAAATGGTCATTAATTTTTTTTTTAAATCCTAATATACCATTATTGTTGCATTTCCACCCCTACA